GCAGGGGGAGTGGGAGAGGGAGAAGCAGGCTTCCCGCGGAACAGGGAGCCCGATGCAGGGCTCGATCCCAGCACCCTGGGATCATGACCTGAGCTGAAGGCAGACGCTTAACGACTGAGCCACCCAGGCGCCCCTTGCGTACCTCTTTTCTTTGGGGGGGCAGGACAACAGTTTACTTATTGTGAGTGAAGTAGAGGGGAGGAGAGTGGGGAGTTCTGAGGGCACGGTGTCTTTTGCTCACATGTTCCAAGGCTGCTTTCTCCTGCAGCGACACTCCTGGAAAACCCAGGTTGGCAAGAGCTGAGGGGAGGGAGCTGGGGCGAGAAATGGGAGGGGCGCTCATGGGAGCCAGAGGTAAGGCTGTCCGAGGGGAGGTGGGGCTCATGGTGTCAAAGGGGAGGCAAGGTCAGAGGTGAGGGGAGGCTCGGAGGAGGGGTTGAAGGTAAACTGAGACTTACAGGTCTGGGGGCACAATGGGGTTTGTGGGGGAGGTCAAAGGGGAAGGAGAGGTCAAAGTGAAGGAAGGTTCATGGGGTTAAAAGTGGGGCTTGCTGGGTCACCAGTGAAGAGGGGCTCAGAAGGGGGTGCCTGTGTCCGAGTTAGACAAGCTCGAAGAGGCCGGACATAGAGTGGGCCTCGGGGGTCAGCGGTCAGCTAGGGTCTGAGACAAAGTCGAGGTTCATGGGCTCAGACAAGAAGAGAAGCGGAGCTCCCGGGGGGTCCGGGGTCAGCGGCCTAGCAGCTAGGCCTCCTCCTTGACCTCGCCCTCCTGGGCCCTGGCCTCCTGGTACTTCCAGTGCTCGGACACCGGGTCGTTCGTGTGGCTCTCGGCCTGGTGAACCCCAGCTCGCCCCCGCCCGTGTACCAGTGTCGGGAGGCCTTGCGCCGGCAGGTGGCCGTGAACTGCTCTGAGATGCGCCTGTCACCTCCTGCCAGCGGGGACGCTGCGGCAGGATAGCGCACCGGGCCGCCTTCCTGCTGTTGGGGACCCACGGCTGCTCTGCTTGCTCGACACACCCAGCATCTGTGGGGCGCCTCCTTCGTGGACATGCGGCCGGGGGAGCACGGCGGCCACCGTCGGGCCGCCACCGCATTCCTAGGCGGACGGACGGGCTGCTGTGCGAGCTGGGCTGGGCGCGGAGCCCCGGCCTGGCTGCTGAGCGGGTCAGGGGCGCCAAGCTGGGGGATGGGGAGTGGGGAGGAGTGCAGGTGCGGGCGGGCCGCCGGTTAGGGTTAGGGGTGGCTGGCTGGCGCAGGTCGCCCTGGAAAGACTATAGGCACTAAAGTCAGATAGGCCTGAGCTGGCATCTTGGCTCTACCATTTATTAACCCTTTGACCTGGGGCAAGATTCCTGTAAACATTTAGAGTCTCAGATTCAGTATCTGTAAAAGAGGGAAAATAATACGTTTGAAGTGTCTCTTCCTCCATAAGATCTACAGGGCTTGCTTTGCTCATTCATTCATTCATTCATTGCACAAATATTTCTTTTTTTTTTTAAGATTTTATTTATTTATTTGAGACAGAATGAGAGAGACAGAGAGCACATGAGAGGGGGAAGGGTCAGAGGGAGAAGCAGACTCCCCGCTGAGCAGGGAGCCGGATGTGGGACTCGATCCCGGGACTCCAGGATCATGACCTGAGCCGAAGGCAGTCGCTCAACCGACCGAGCCACCCAGGCGCCCCATTGCACAAATATTTCTTGAACACCCTCTGTGGTGAGGCCTCATGCTGAATGTACAGGGGAGAACCAAGCACATAGTGTCTTTGCCCTCCTGCATGGTGTAGGCTAGGGTGGGAAATAGTAACATTACTCAGAGAGGGGTGCAAGGAGTAAACTGGACAAGATATTTAAAGTGCCCGATCAGGGCGCCTGGGTGTCTCAGTCGTTAAGCGTCTGCCTTCGGCTCAGGTCATGGTCCCAGGGTCCTGGGATCGAGTCCCATGTTGGGCTCCCTGCTCGGCGGGGAGCCCGCTTCTCCCTCTCCCACTCCCCCGGCTCGTGTTCCCTCTCTTGCTGTGTCTCTCTCTGTCAAATAAATAAATAAAATCTTTAAAAAAAAAATAAAATAAAAAATAAAGTGCCCGATCAGAATCGTGAGCACTGTCTATTCCGTCCCTTTGGGTGTCATGTTCCTGTCCCGCTGAGGGGCCCTGCCAGGGCCCCAGCCCCCTCTCTGCTTCCTGGCTACCTGCACAGAAAGGGGCCAAAACAGTCCCCATCCTCAGACACAACTGGTTGTGTCTCTCACACGGACAGCACACATGATCAGGATGCGTACATCCTCATCCCGCAGTATTAAGACTTAGAAAGGGCAGAAAACCCTCACTGCCCTCACCTGGACAGACATGCTGGTCAGAGGCCCCACCTCCAAGAGGGTCCAATCCAGGAGGTGTCAGAGCTGAGTCCTGTTTTCCCTTCACCTGAGGGGGGCGGACGATGGCCAGGGTGTCGCTGGGGAGCCAGATGACAGAGGTCCCTCTCCTGGGGTAATTTGGGATGTGGACACAGAGATTCTTACCCAACCCTGAAATAGAAGTGCTGAAGAGCTTGGGAGCCAGAGAGGCGGGAAGGAGGGGGGCGGTAGGCCTGCCCACCTGACTGCCCTTCCGTCTCCCTCAGGAGAACGCCAGCTGGAGGGTTCTTCTTCCTTCCTCCTGACATAGCCTGAGAGATGAGTGTCACTTGGCCTCAGGGCACATTCCAGAATGAGGCCACAGCCACGAATAGGACCCAGGAACCCTGCCACCCATCCTGCCTATATTAATCACACATTCCCAGAGCGGGAGAGAGACTTCAGACTCCTTGAGGAGGCGGGAGGAGGAGGAGAAGGAGGTGGTGGAGGAGGAGGAGGAGAAGGAGGAGGAGAGGGTATCAGGAAGTAGAGTTGGGAAAAAGCAGGGAAAACCCCAGGGAAGCCCCTCCACAGCCCTGCAGGCTTCCAGTGCGCCTCGTGGCCCTTGGTCCCAGGACCCTTGGTTCATCCAGCAAGCCCCTTGTTGAGCCCTGGGGGCTGGGCCCCCGCAGACCTCCGGGAGCCCCCAGGCAATGCTTCCGGCCTGGGTGGTGCATGTGCAGAGGGAAACAGACAATGGAAGGATCTTGCTGCAGCTGGGGGACAGTGGAGGCTCCTCCGGGGGAGCTGAGTCTGGGAGGATGAGTAGGCATAAGGCTGATGTCTCACTCAGGAATGTAGGCCATGACTGCTTATGTGTGTGAGCGAAATATCATGTCACACAGCAAGGTCAGAAGACAGCCCCGGGGTGGCTGAAGGAGGCAGGCTCTTGGGAGATGTTTGGGGTCCTGATGGGACTCCACACTGTCCAGCCCAGAACAGGGTGTGTGTGTGTGTGTGTGCGTGCGCTCACGCATGTGTGTGTCATACTGAGAGAAGCCAACTGCCTGTGTTCAAGTCGGCTCTGCCACGTGGCAGCTGGGTGATCTTGGGCAAATCTCTGGTCTCCTCCAGCCTCAGTTTCCCCACCCACAGAATAGTGTTCTGTGCTGTAGAGTGGTGATGGAGGCAAGAGATGATGTCTGGTGCCTGTCCCATGGTGAGCGACCACGCAGTGTTGATGTTATAACAGGTCAGTTGGACACTGGGCGCTCCCCCCCACTTCCGCACCCCCTGCCTGAGGAAATCACCATGCGGCTGTGTGTTTGTTCTCCCCCTTTCTTCCTCAAGTTCCGCCCCTGGTCCCTGCTCTCTGGCCCCACTGGCCAGGGGGTGACATCAGACTATGGAGCTGCTAGCCAGACAATGGAGCAGAGTGTCCTAGGAGGCTCGAGGTGCTGGGGGAGGCGGAGGGTGGAAAAAGCCAAGCTGTCCTGCCCCAGAGGCCTCGAGCTGGTCCGGAGACAGCCGGCGCCAGACCAGGCCTCTGAAGAGGCAAACAGAGATGGACTGGAGCAGGAGGAGGATGGGGAGGGGACCTACCAGATGCAAGGAGGGAAGGAGTGAGTGTGCAGTGTAGACAGGAAGGCAGGTGAGTCTGGCCTCGGACCTGTAGGGGGGCTCCATCCCCCTGTGTCCTGGGGCCCAGGCTGGGGCCAAATCTCCCAAACTGGGTGGGCAGGCTCCCCAAGTTCCCCCAGCAACCAGACCCTGGGAATTCAGTTCAACCTCTATGGAGCACCTACCAGAGGTCAGTTACTGTGTAACACCTGGGTAACAGGGATCAGAGACTTAAGCTTGGTTTCAAGGACAGAGAAATACATGCCACATAGATCCAACATCGTAATAGATGCCCATTCCCTAAGTGCCTGTATTTTCTAAAGCCCAAACATGCGGGGTGATCCGTCTGAATGTGTTCTGCGAATAACAGACTAAAATACCTGCAGCTGTGTGTTCACTGAGTGTGAAATCCCGGGCCCAGCAGGAGGACGCGAGGGCTTTAGGTCCTGGGGGACTGCTGTCAGCCAGGCGGTTGCTGAGGGCCAGGAGGGGGCGCTGGGGCCGCGCTCTGTGCCAGGCTCTGTCTCCTAGGCTTTTCAGTTTGGCAAGGTTAATAGGGCCAAGCTCCCCAAGTCTCCAGGAAGTGCACTTACTACCCTCTGTTTTACAGATGAGGAGACTGAGACGAAGAGAGACACCGGGGAAATGTCAGACCCAGGTGGGTCTGACGGCATCGGCCGGGCTTTCTCACTCTGCCAGGCTGGGGCTGGAGTGGGAGGGACAGGGACCCCAGGTGCTGCGAGCTGGTGAGAAGGAGCCCTGACATCGGTGTCCCCTGAATGTCACACCTCCACCAGGCAGCCACGGGGCTTAGGCCCCATGTCCGTGCAAGAAGGGAGATGACAGATGCTAGCATGTGGACACTTGACCCGTCAGGCTCTAAGCTAATGTGTTACTTATTGGGCCATCTCAGCCTAGAAGCAGGTGCAACAGAATGTCCCCAGGCCTCTAAGGCTGAGTCCTCACCTCCCTGGTTCTCTGACCCAAGCAGGGAGGGGTCCGTGGCGAGTACCTTCCGGGCGGCTGTTAATGCTCAGCATTTCCCCAGTGGTGACTTGGGAAGCTCGCACTCCTCTGGCCCGGGAGGAGCTTGTCTTCCCCATGCTGGCCCCCTCCTTCTTGCAGGAATTCTCTCTAAGGAGGGTTTGGCTAGACCGGGCCAGGCTGGGTGGGGCTGGGTGTGCATTCCTCCTTGGGGCTGTGGCCCGGGAAGACCCAGGGAAGTGGACAGGGGACAGGTGTCTCTTGAGCTTGGCTGGCTTGCAGCCTGAGGGCCGGACGAGCTGTGAGGCATGCCTCCACGGCCACAGGCTCCTGAACGCATCTCCAGGGACAGGGAACCGTCCCAAGCACCTGAGGCCAAAGGTGCTGCTATCTCCATCCAGGGAACTGCAGCCCTGTGCTCTGAGCACACCTACAGCTTTGGGACCAGGCCACACCCAGAAGCCCCTGGGGAGCTATAGCTGGGTGGCCCACCTCTTTCCGCCCCGCTCATGTCTCCTCCAGCTTTGTGCCTCTCAACACGACACCATCAGTGACAGGGTCCGGAGTCTGCCCCTGGCCCGCCATGCTGTCGTGATGGGCAGGGGGCCTGAGACGTAGTTAGAACATCTGGGCCTAAGTCCCCAATCTTCCTGCCTCTGTGTTCTTGGGGGACGTCACCTGGCCTCTCTGGCCTCAGCTTTCCTGAGCTGGGGGGAGCACCACAGTGAAGGAGCCTCAGAGCTCCAAAGTGGGGTGAATGTTCGTGTCCCTCCATCACCCAAATGTGGTCCCGTTGGCCAGACTTCCCTCCTGGTCACCAGAGCAAATGACAGCCCCCCACCACCACACACACTCATTAACCCAAACAAATCACACAAGAAGGGCTGTTGATACTATGAACTTTTAATTGGTACCTTCCTCCCTACATTGGAGGAAGAAACGAGGGTGCCCCACAATGATCTTTTCTCCTTTGGAGGGACCTGGACAGAAGGAAGGGCTGAGGAGGGAATGGGGGAGCAGATGTAGAGCTGACAGTGGCTTTCCCAAGTCATTTATCGTGTGTGTGGGGGGTGGGTGGGGGGTGGCTGGACCTGCACAGGAAGTCCAGAAACGAGAAGTCACCAACAAGCTGCCACATTCCCAAACCTGCCCTCCCAGGTCTCACTTAGAGCCTCCCTCAGGTCCCTGCAGCTCCCAAGGCCACCACCAGATGGAAGCATCGAGCAACATTCCTTTTCCTTCCCAAGCCTGACTCCCCTCCTCCCTCCCTTCTTTCACCCTGCTCCCCATCCCAACCCCAACTTTCCCTTTATCTCCCTGCCCACCAGAACAGATCCTGGGGCTTCTATCTGCTTTCTGTCCAAGGAAGCCAGTGACAGATGAAAGCACACTGTCCTTCCAATGGGACCATTTGACAGTTGGGAGGGCCCGGCATGGGTCTGCTTCCCGGGGCGGGGGGATTGGGGTGGTGGGGACCCTGGGATCTGGACATTCACATTCAGTCACCAGGATCTGGGCATTGACTAATATCTGTATCCTAGCACCCGGCACCCAGAAAGTGTTCAGAAATTGTCCATTGAGTCGGACTGAACAGAGCTAAGTTAATATGTCAACAATCAATAAACCAACCAATAAAGCCAAGGAGAAACATGAAGAATGTGTATTCTGCCGGTGCCATGGTGGCCTCAGAGACTGCAGGGCCCACCTGACCGAAGCACGGCTGACCACCGCCTCAGGGCAAGGGGTGTGCTGGGTCAGACCATGCCCCCCACCCCACCGCTGCCCATATCCCACAAGCCCTAACATGAAGTGGTTTCTGCTCGTAGTGATCTAGGGGGCTCTGGGGAATTTGTCCAAAGAGTCCCTGGTCCCTCCTTTCTCTCCCCACCTACCCCTTTTGCAAACTGATTCATTCCGTGATTCCCACGACCGTTCAGATGCCACCTCCGGAAGCCTGGCTGGGAGCTGGCTGGGGGCAGGGAGAGCCAGCAGAGGCGGCCGACCAGCACAGAGAGGGTCACAACGCCCCACCGACTGGTCATCAAGAATAGCTTGCAGGTGTCTGGTGGCTTCCCCTTTGGTCCCCCTCAGCTAAAGAAGATACAGACCCCTTCTTGAGCCCAAGACTAGAAGTTGTTCTAAGAACCTCCGGTGCATTTTCCCCACTGGCTTACAACTGTCGAGCCTGACCTTGCCCAGTTTGCGGACTGAGGGGCGTGGGGGGTGGGTAGGTGGACGAGGGCCGGGGAGGGGGCCGGGGAGGGGCGGGGGGGCAGGGCCTCAGCGCAAGCCCAGAAACTCCTTGAGGACGTCGCAGGTCTTCTTGTGCAGGACCTCGCGCAGCTTCCTGACCCGCCGGCTGCTGGACGCTCCCACGAAGCTATCCGGCCGCAGCACGGCCATGCCGCCGTCCACCTCGCCCATGATGATGAGCGGCGTCTCGCCCGCCGTCACGTTGGGGCAGGGGCAGCTCCAGTCCACGTGGAGCAGGGTGACCTCCAGCGGCTCCCGGCCCAGGAACTTGAGGCCCATCTTCTCATCCTTGAGGACCTCGTCCACGGTCACCAGGGCCCGCCCCGCGTCGGGCTCCTCGGTCAGCTCGGACACGCGGCCCAGGATGACGAAGTCGCTCCGACAGAAGCTGGTGACGAGCTTCTGCCGTGGCTTGCAGGCCCGGCAGCGCTGGGTCCCCCGAGGGAAGGGGCAGGACTCCTCGCAGGCCTCGCGGCTCTCGAAGTTGTTGCTGTTGCCGTCGCATCCGCCGTAGATGAAGGACTGGCACTGGCCGGCCTGACTGTTGTAGGCCCAGCGGGGCGCGTAGGCTTTGCAGGGCCCCTGCAGGGCGGGCAGGCTGCACACGGCCAGTGGCCCGCTCATGCAGGCCAGCATGCAGGCCTCGTAGGTCTCGAAGTGGTTCCGGTTGCGGTGGCAATGGCCAAACGTGAAGGTGAGGCAGTTGTTGGCCTGCGCGTCGAAGTGCCAGCGGGTCTGCTCCTCGCCGCAGTCCTCACTGTCGGGGGGCTTCAGGCACTCGGCCGCGGGGAGGGCCGTGCCGTTGGGGGTGCTCTCCGAGGGGGCCACCGCCTGACCCCCCCTGACCACGGACAGCGGGAAGTCGGCGCGCAGGACCCCGGCGGCATTCCGGGCCGTGCAGGTGTAGATGCCGGCGTCCTGGGGCTGGGCGTTGTAGATGACCAGCTGGGCGATGTTGGTGACCACCACGTTGCCGCGCACGTGGTTGGGCCGCATGACCACGTTCTCGCGGTCTTCCAGCTGCTTCTCCCAGGTGATCTCGGGCCGGGGCCGGCCCACCACATCGCACAGGAAGCTGACGGTCTCGCCCACGGTGACCGACTGGGGCACCGGGTGGTGGAGCAGAGCCGGGGCCGCCACATCCAGCCCCGGCGTCTCCAGGGAGGCCGTGGTGGGGCGCACGGTGGTCTCGGGCGGCGGGGGACTGGTGTTGGGCCACGTGAAATGGTGGCGGCAAGTGACGACGGCCAGCGTGATGCCCTTGGAGCAGGCCTCAGCGTCCATGTAGCAGCGGTTATAGTAGGTGAGGCCGTCGGAGGCACACGTGAAGCTGGGCTCCTTCTCACAACGATCTTTGCACTTACACACGGGCTGGCCGTCCCAGATGTCACACTCGGAGCCCTGCTGCAGACACATGAAGTGGTCGCAGGTGGCCTCCCTGGGCATGCCCACCGGGCCCTTCTTCCCTTTCACGTCCATGTACCGGGCGGCCACGCAGCTCTTGGTCCCGCACACGTTGGGGCAACACTTCTCATAGGTCTCGCACTCCTGCGGGGAGCCAGAGGGAGAGGCCTGAGCACGGAGGAGCAGGACGCGTGCCCAGGATTCCCCCACCCCCCGCGCCCCCACCCACCGCCCCCCGAGTCTGCGGAAGGGAACTGGTATGTGCTCACCACCTACGGCGAGCCGCACATTCGGATGATGACAGGAGATACGCAGCCCCTGCTATCTGCCAGGCCTTCTTCTAAGAACGTGTGTACCTGTCTGCTTCTCTCTTGCTCATCACAAGCCTGGGCGGTGGGCAGACCATTAGCCTCACTTCGCAGGTAGTGATAACGGAGGCACGGAGAGGTGAGGTCACTTGCCCGAGGTCCGCTACAGCTGGTAGTGTGAGAGGAGGCGGGCCACGTACCTCCGAGAGGGGACGTTTCTCTGACTACCATTTTATAGATGAAAGTGCAGAGACTTGGAGAAGTTTCGCCCAAGTCCCGAGAGCGGGCAAGTGGCAGAAAAGGGCTTCGAGCTCCAGGTGGATGGGACTCTGAAGGGAGAGCTCTTCTTCCACATCATAGGGTGACCACAAAGGAGGTCTAGGTGCGAACAAATGAGCCCTGCCTCTCTGTCTTTTTTCCACTGGGGTGAGGATGCCCTGGCCGAATTGAAGAGGTCACACCAAACCCTAAGAAGGAAAAATCGGACACCTCTGGGACAGATGTTTGAGGCCGGCTGCACACGCGTCAGGAACAGCCCCTCCGTGGCGGGCCCACGCTCGTTCAGAGCCCAGGGGAAGGGCAGGCGGGACAGGCCCGGGACGCCAGGCCCCACCACGGAGGGCTGTGCCAGGCCCAGGTGCTCAGCTCTGACGCGTGCAACACTTCGTGGGGGACATCCACAAGGAAAACAGCCCCGCTGGGTGGCGAAGGTCAGCAGAACCGTCAGCGAGGACTTACTATGGCTGTAATCCCCCTTGATGCTCTGTGGAGCCACGTAAGGCATTAGTTTAATTCCTCGAAATTAGCAACATGCTCTGGGACCGACACAAACAAGGATTTCACGTGGTGTTTTCAACAATAACACCTCGTACCCACTGGGCAGGCGGGCAACGCTCCTAATCCTCCGTCCTGGTAGTAGCTCTGGGAATTACTCCCCACTAGGGCTGGCCTCTTGTGGTTCCGACTTTTATTTCAGCCTCTTTGACATTCCACATCAGCTAAGAGGGGGAAATATCCCCCACCGGAGCTGTGTGGAGCCTGCCCGCTTGACTTGTTTACTGTTTTCTCCCTCTCGGCTCAGAATGGGGACTTTGTTTTGCAGTCCTTGCTTGGCATGGGCTTCTAGGCCATGCCAGGAGAGGCTTTGGGACAGGGATGGGCAGATCTCAGAGCTGGGGTCTGAGGGTGAGAGACCCAGTGGGGGATGGAGGGCGGGAGAGACTGGGAGCGGACAGGAGAACCTGCTCTTCGGCCTGAGGGTCATAAAATTCCTTAAGAGACACGCCCAGGGAGCTCCTTTAGGACCCTGAGGTCCATGAAAGGTTGGGTCCCCAGAGTTGGTGTGGGACCGAGGGGAGAAAGGTATGTCTGGGCCCAGGAAACCTAGAAGGAATCCTTAGAACAGTTTTTGCTTGGGGCTCAGAATATACCCATAGGCAAATAAGTCCCTAGCCCCACACAGGTGCCTTTTCCCCAAGACACACGACATCAGCCAGAGTCTCACTGTCCCACGCCCTACCTGATTTATCAGGCCAGCCCACGCCGGTGGAACAGACTTCCCTGCAAACGTAGCCAATGACACTCATGACCTCAGCCGAATGGGAGCGCTCTGCCCCCATCTTCCCTTTCCTCAGCACCACCTCTGCTCCCTGGCAGCGTCTGGCCTGAGAGGTCTGACAACTGTCCCCTGGACACCGTGGGGGCAGAGACCACTCTCTGCAGGGCAGTCATGGGCTTTTCTGTAGATTACGTGTGTTTGGCAAATGGAGTGTCTCTTCTATTCCCCGGTGCTGCCCAGCCCAGCCCTGAGCCCTAGGAACTGGCCGGACCGGCAGGAAGCACCTCTGCCCAGGCAGGTGCTGGGTACCAGCGGGCTCTTCTTCGTCACCCGCGGGGAGTGGCAGGGATGGCCCTGGGACTCGGGAGCTGGGAGAGAACTGCCCTAGCGCCAGGCCTGCCCTGCTTGCCCCAGGCTGCTCTAATGAAAGCAGAAGGGAGGACCGAGGAATCTGGCAGGCTTCCCTCCCAGGGATAACCAGGGGGTCTATTCAGAGCTGTTCCCGCCCACTGTCCCCATCAGCCTGGCCTGATCTCAGAGTCAGGGTGCGAACCCCTGTGTGTGGGGGGGTGGCCCGGAGGCCTCAGCTTTGCCAGAGAGACGCAGGTGCCAGGCCCGCCCTCCCATCCCTGGCTGGGACCTCGTCGTGCTGCTATCACCTGTCGAGGCGGGGCTGAAGGGTCGTGCCAGTCCCCACGATGTGCCTGGCCCAGTGCTGCCTCAGAGCCCCCCTCAGTAAACGTGAGACCAGGAACCCCAGGGTGAACTTGGACATCACACCCACCTCTTCATCTGGGCCTCGGACTTGGACAGACATCACTCCCTGTTTATGTGGCCTGGGGCCCAACTTCCTTCCCGCTCCCAGATCCTCCCAGCCTGGGGGGGGGGGGCTCCTGAGTCTCCCCAGCCCACGGCTCCCACTTGCCCTCACTAACACCCTCACATGGTCCACATCAGGCTTCCGGATTCCCACTCACCTGGTCCGTCTCACACTCCCGCTTGCAGGTGCTCTGGGCATCCACCCAGAGGTTGGGGTTCATGTCGTTGGGGCAGATGCCCGCATGAGAATAGCGGATGGGCGGCAGTGCCAGGCCCCTCGGGGGCGCCCCAAGCAGCAGCAGGAGAAGTGCCGCCTGCGCCCAGCCGGACCAGAGCCGGCAGCACCCCGGGGCCCCCATGATGCGGTCTGCGGTGGCTCGAGACCTCCCCTGCGACGGGGCCAGGGGCTGGGGCCCACCGGGGCCTTGTCCTTCTCTGGGCTGCAGACACCTGCCCTCCCCACCCCGGCGGGCTTCCTCGCGGCCGCCGCGGCCACCTCCACCAAGTCAGTGGAGCCCGCTGGGCTGCGCGGCTTCAGATAAAGGAAAGGTCTTTGCAAGGAAACTCCCTCTCCTGAGTGTGCAGGGAGAAGAGCCGCGGCAGGGGCTGAGCCTGGATTTATATCCTGGGCGCGCCACCCGAGTGGGAGCGAGCTAACCTGATGCCTGTCACAGGCAGGCTGCTGGCTCCTCTGTCCCGTGGCTGATCACAGACTTGTTGCAGAAGGAGGAAAAAAAAAAAAAAGCTGGAAGCGGTTTAGGCGGGCGTCTCTGGCACGGTGGGACACCTGCTTGTTTTTGACTCCAGGAGGCCTTTAACCCCTTCAAGGGCCAGAAATGGCATGTGCTTTGGGGGGGAGCTGGCTCCAGGACACGCAAGCTCCCTGGAAAGGAGCGGTTTGTTTCCCTTTCCCCCACCTCCTCGGGCCGGGCCCCCTCCTCCCCGTGGCCACCTCTGAAGAACACACAATCGCTTGTTACAAGGAGGGACCTGCAGCCGCAGGGTTAGCATCGCCTGGCCTGATAGTACATTTGAGAGCAAATGACGTGGAAAAACAACAAGTTCAAGGCCATTCCAGGGCGGGCCCTAGCAGCAGTGCTGGGCCGGGTCCGCCGCCTCCCACCCCCGCACCAGGTCCCTCTGCGAGGCCGCGGGGGGTGTGCGCGCGCGCGGACAGCTCCCTATCGCTCGGTCCCCTGGCAGTTCGCGTCTCAAGTTCCAACTTCGGTGAATTTTCCCCAAATCATTCCAGAGACACATACCAGATATGCTCCGGCTCCCCCAGCTGCCGGGACGTATCACATTCCTCGCTCCTCGATTGACACACTCGTCGGCTCCAAGAAAACCTACGGGGTGTCTCAGGACGGCGCTGGGCAGCGGCCGCCCTCGCTAACGACCCCTCGGCCGGTGCCTGAGCTCTGTCGTGTGCCGGGCACCTCGGCTGTCCCCTGGGTTCCCCCCACTTCGCAAAGGAGAAGGTTCAGGGCCGGAGAGGGCCAGCGACTCGCCCAAGGCCAGCCACCGCGGGCAGGGATAGTCGTCCCAGTTGCTAATATTTACTGGGCTCCTGGTGTGTGCGTCACGACACTCCATCCTCACGACAAACTACCTTCATTGCTGAATGGAGGAAAAGACGCCCAGAGAGGCTAAGCAACTCACCCCCCGTTGCACAGCTACGGGATGCTGCCATTAACACGGGAAACGCCAGCTTGCGGGGTGCGGGCAGGGGCCTCTGGAACGCCCCCCCGCCCACCTGGCTGTCAGAATTGCTGTCAGGGTACAGCTTCAACTCTGGTTTTTACAGGCGGGACAAGAAGTTTGTGGAAATATCAGATGCTGTACTGGGGGGGAGCGCAGGGAAAGAGTCGGAAGCTGCCGTTGGAGGGGGTGGGGGGCCATTTTTCTCCCTTATGGCAGGAAATGTCAGGTACCTCAAACACCACCGAAAAGTGAGCTGGCGAAACGTATTTGCATGGGTCACTTGACCCCCAGACGGTGTGAGGGAGCGGGGTCACCGATCCCCGCAAGAGAGAGGTACCTTGTAAAGGCCGAACCACCGAGGGTTTGAGGAACAGGAACTGAGCCGCTGTGTCCCAGGGATAGTAGGTGGGGTGGGCCCAGCCCACATCAGAGCCAGAAGGGACCTGGAAAGTCCCCAGCGGTGTTTTCATTTCACAGGTGGGGAAACTGAGTCCTGAACGCAGGCCCCTCCTCTTCCAGGTCCACTCTCCCCTTGAGGGCTAGGGTTCACCATCTCATCTGACTGTAAAAAGGCGGCACAAGCCTTCTCTCTGCCCTGCAAACTTTTCCCCGGGTTGGGGGGGGTGTCGCCTTCTCCCCACCTCTGCCAAGTCTTCCCCATCGTGTGGGTTATTCTGCAAGACCTGTCTTTTCTGCTTATGTCAAAGAGCTAATGGAGGGTGTCAGATCCTAATCCCCTAAATTATTGGAATAAACTTCCCTCCGAGGCCGGGCCCGGTAATGAAGCCAGACAGTGGGCGACGCCGGCTGCTTTGAATTCCCTGTAATTTCATAAACCCATGTTCCAGCCGCTGGGAGCAGGGCCTCGGCCCCACGCTTGACAAATGCAGCTTGCACAGCCTCCTTGGAAACCACAAAGGGGAATGGATGGTGACACATTTCTAAGCAGGACTTAGAAAAATTGTCACAGTCCTGTTACTTGAGGACAAGTGTCCAGGGAGAGGAGGCTGATCTCTGGGGAGTCACCTGAGGCCACTAGAGGTGATGGGAGGCCCTGGGGGCAGCCAGAGCCGAGGTGGCCAGCAGGGGGTGGGCAGAAAAGCAGGGGAAGCTCCCCCACCCCACCCGCTCCTCGCTCGCTCGCTCGCTCTCTCTCTCTTCGGGGTTGACTGAGAAAGGCCTTGGTCCGCCCAGCTCGGCCCTGTCAAGAGCCACGGCCCTCCTTCCCGCCCAGGGCCCCATTTCTGGCCATTCCACTCTGAGAACTTTCAAAACAGCATCGGGGAAGAAGGGGCCTAGAATACCCTGGCTCTCCCTCTCAGCGTTTCCAAGTCTCCCACCAAAACACAGCTCAGAATAATAAATAACATCTGATCAGGGCTCGGAGCCCACACAGCGTTTTCACCTACATCATCTCGCTGACCCTCCCACCAGCCCCAGGAGGGAGCCCGGGAGGTGTCGCTGGGAGCTCCGTTGTACAAGAGAGGAAACCGAGTCACAAAGAGGCTAGCTGGGCCTGCCCGGGGCCCCCTGGCTCACACCCTGCCCTCCCCTCCCGGACCCCAGTCCTGTGCTCTTCACACAAGCCATGCACGCTTCCAGCTTCCAGAAAGGCCCCTGCTGGCCACCCCGCCAGCCCAGCGTGTTCCTAAGCAGTTCTGGGAGCGCTTTGAAGTCTCCCTCCTGGGCCCCTCCCACAGTTCCTCAGATCTGGCGGCCCTACCTCAGTCTGCACTGGAGGGTGGCAGGCACCCCACCCTCACCACACCCCTGGGACCGAAGCGGTGGCTCTGCGGCTGGTTCCCACCGTCCCGCCCCCCAGGCCTCCCTCCCATCGGCATGAGCATCGGGGAAGTAGAGCTGGGGCTGAGTCACCTGAGCAGTGTCACCTGCCTTCCCCCCCTGCCCCGGGGACATCGGGCCCAGCGTGGTCACAAGAGGGCTGGGCTCTGCCTTCGACTCAGAAGAGCTCCCTCCAGCTCCCACCACTGTGGAGGTGGAGGGAGCACGGCCCCTTCACACCCTCCAGGGTGGGTTCAAGGCCAGCTCTAGGTGCAGCTGCAGGAAGTGACCCTGGACAGTGGACTCTGCGTGACCCTTGACGTCAAGCTCACCCTTCACATAACAACTTCCAGCCACTGGGGTCTGGACAGGACAACACAGCAGACATCGTTTTTCCAATCGGCCAGGCCTCTCCCCTCTGGAGACCAGCCGCACGCGTGGTGGGGATGACGGGGATGCCACGCCAGCCCCTCAGATGCCAGGGCGCTCACGCATGGACCAAACCTCTTACCTCTCACAGCATCTCCTCCCTCTTTCCTTACTGGATGGTTTTTTAAAGCACCTACTATGTGCTTAGTACTCTGGGTACACAGAGGAACAACTGTCCTTGTCCACAGAGAGAGCACAGCATGCAAACTCGTGATAAGACTAGTGAAGGCCATCTTGGAGGTCCCTGCGAGTGCTGGGGGGTGGGGGGCAGGCAGGGGGAGAGAGGCCCGGGGCTGCAGACGTGAGGTGGGATGGGTCCAGAAGCCTGAGTGGGAGTCTGCAAGACGGAGCACAGAAGGCGCTTTCGTCCACTCCCCTTTGGAAAGGCCTGGCCCACAGTGCGGCCTCCTTGGCCAAGGCCCTCCCTCTGCAGGGCCCGGGCCTCCAGAAAGGGGAAGTGAAAGGAAAGTCAGTAGGTTTGGGAGATGGGGTGGGGGTGGGGGCTGCAGGTCCTGCTTCTGCCTGGGGCAGCCCCAGCAAAGCCAAACCAGCAGCCCGTTCTGGGCCACCGCTTGGGCCCCCAGACCTGAGGCAGCCACATTTTCTCCCAAACGGTTGGGAGAGGCCAGCCCCCTGGGAGCCCCCTTGCCCTGATCCTCGAATTCAACATATTTGGGAGGAGGAAGAATGTAAGGAGCAAGAATCAGGGTGCTAGGGCCAAAGAAGTCCCCAGCAAGAGCGCTCAGATGGGTTCTCAGAAGGCCCAGACAGCCTCGGCTAAAGGCAGTGATTAGTCAGACCCAAGCTGGGGAATTCAATAAAGCGGGCGGCTCATTACCCAGCTGGGGACCTCCTGCCTGAGCGGCCGCAGGCCTGGGTTACATTACAGGGCTATGTGAACTCTCCCCTCAGAGTGAGACTGCACCGGGTTTTGGAATAATTATGAGGCCTCAGCAGATGGTGGAGGCGGACAGGGGAGGCCTTCAGCTGTGGGACACGTGACTTGTCTGCGTCTGTGCAGAGCAGGACATGGGAGGGTCCCCACTGGGCCTCGGGGGAGGCAACACTGAATCAGGATCTGAGAATTACGGGGTTGGCAGCCAGGCCTCCTTAGACCCCCGCCCGGGGCCGGGGGGCCCTGCTGGGGGTGCCGAGTCTCTGGAAGCTGGTTGGTGTCTGAACGGATCTGTGTGTCATGAAGCAAGAACAGGAGACACAACTTCTGGGCACCTGTGAGCCCCCAGATGCCTTCCTGGAGAAGGTGGGCGTCAAGGGCTCAGCGGATTTCAGCCCTGTGTCAGAGCCACTTGGGCAGCTCCGTGCGCTCAGGTTGAGCACTGTGTGAGGAGTCCTGGGTTCTCAGCCTGGTCCACCATCAACCCACTGCGCGACCACCTCTACTTCCGCATCTGAGGCCCCTTCCAGCTCCCTCCTCTGTGATCCTGTGTCCTGATTCCTCCAGCTTTGCCTTCATGGACTCAGCTTCAAAAAGCCCCGAGCAGCTCTCAGCCAAGACAAACATGGGAGTGAAGAAGCCAGAAGGCCACAGGACTGCGGGGCTGCTGTGGGTCCACCTCTCCGCTCTGCTGGGGGAGAGTGGCAGCCCGTGTTTCCACGCTTCCCAGGCCCGGGGGCTCCGTGGGACCGCCACGCATCGGGGCATAGCCTCCCTCCTGCTCAGACCGTCCCTATCCTGGAAGCTTCGTCTGGCTACTCCACCCACAAGCTCCCTCCTTCTCTGCCTTACTGTTTTCTTCCTCCAGATGTGAGAGCAGTGAGGTCTCAGACCCGCGGGTCTCCCTGCTCACCTGCACACTGCTGTGCAGAGGGGCACGTGTTCTCTAAAACCAGATGCATTCCTCATCCCCGCTGCAGGGGTACCACATGGTGGGGGTGGGGGGGGCACGAGAAACAGGCCTTTCCCGGATGGATCATTACTTCAAGACTTCTGGCTTAAAGATGGCTTCCTTAAGGCTTCTCCACGCCTTCAGGATGAAAGCCTTACTTACTTACTTAACCTGGACCAACGCAAACTTCTGCCTCAGTTTCCTTTCCCAGTCTTATCATTTGCTCCTCTTTCTCTCAGACCCTGGAAGCTGCCACAGTGCTCTTTCAGAGCTCCACGCCGTCTCTCCCCCTCAGCCCCTCGGATGTTGTCCTCTGCCAAGGACACGGTCCCTTCTCCAGGCCAGCTCCTTCCCAGCCTATCCTGGAAGCCCCAAGCCTTTCTGGAGGCCTTCCCAGTCTCAGGAAGGCCCTCGACACTTCTCAGTTGTGTGGGGGTGTCCTGGTATTGTTTTTACAGTGAAAAAACAAAACAAAACAAAAAGCCAAAACAGCGTTATAAAACCCGTAGCAAGGTTTAATCATTGCACACTGTCAGGACGTATCGCTGCTCACGTGGGTTGTCAATTGGTTCAGGGATAATGTCAAAAATCCACATTTGAAACCCTTTGTGAGTGCAGCCTGGGCCCGTGACCTTCCTGGGACTGCCTGTGATATCCCTAGGCGCAGTTTATGTGGCGTCGAAATGACTTATGCCTCATCTAACACCCAGACTGGGCTTCGAACCCGTGGTGGGCGGAGAGGTGCACTCAACCAGTGCATGTTGAATAAGTGGATGATCCCGTCAAGCAGCCCGTGCCCTTGCAGAGCA